AGCTGCGCCAGTCTATAACGGGTATAGGACACACCTCTGATACCGGCTCCATAGTAAGGGGTGTGTCTGCGACTGCTAACAGCAAAAAGTCGCGATGGTGGTCCAAAGAAACTGCCGTTTCTCTTCGACTCGAAAAAGCCTATCAAACCACAATTCGTGAATTGAAATTGGGAGGAAAATAAGTAAACACAGCTGCCGCTCAGCTTCACGGTTTGCTCCACCACAATTGCCGCTCAACGCGCAGTGCCGCTCCCAGTGCAGTGCCGCTGCCTCCCCCGAAGTTGCCAGGATTGCATTACAGAACAGCTGTAACTGGAAGTAACTCAGCGACAGCTCTGATTCTCAGCAGTTTGACATCTGCACGTTCTGGTGAATCAGTTGAGCCTGGCGGAAAAGTAGGCAGGGAGCAGGAGGCAAAAGTTCTTCCTGCAGTGGATGAGCTTTTTGCACCATGCTTCCCTTTCCCACTTCTCCCCAACTCTCCATCCCCGATTTTGAACCGATTTTTGCTTGTACTGTACACTGTATCGGACCTCTTTCCCGCTCATTCTCCCGCTCGCAAAACCATCCTGGTCGCCGTCATCATGATGTGCTACGTGGCTGGATCTGACGGTTGAGGGAAGAAACAGCCGTCAAGCTCTGGCACGAGACGAGCAGCCGTAAAGCATGCGAAATTATGATAGGCTGGCTGGCTTCATTTGGGCTGATGTGGGTTTAGTGATGGGTGGTGTGGCACTTCTAGATACTTTCCTCGCCTGGCCTGCACTCAGTGGCAGTAAGGTGGGATTGAGCGTTTATGCAATGAGGTTTTTGGATGCTGTGAGAATGGAATGTGAGGGAGAGGAGATGAGAGGGATCATGGGGAGGAGAAGAGGGAGAAACGAAAGGCGGCTGGGAGGAGCACGAATCACACACTTGCACACGGAGACACACGGAGCAATTGCAGACTCGGCGGCTGTACACCCTGTTTCTCGACCCTCTCACCTTGCGCGATTCGCTGCTACAGTGCGGTCAGGTGCCATAAACCGTATGGCTGAAACCTGCGGGCAAAGCCGCACCAGCTGACGGAGTGGTACTGGGGGCAAAATTTTTCTTTATCGCTGTATACCCTTTTCAACCGCTTTCAAACGCTTGGTTAATGTTCTTTACCATGCAGCATCCTAGCTAACCGCTTTCTTGTGAATGTGCTTGTACCGTCGGTGATAAGACCATTTCAAACGTGGTGACGTTCTACAACCAGTGCATGTTCTGCAACCAGATGCTCTGCTAGCGCGAAAGAGGGTGTACCAACTGACCAGCTGAGAAAAGCGGTGAGTTTCCATCACAGAACTCTTGCATGTTGGAATGTAGTACAGACGAGTCACGAAAGTCAGGAACGAGGTGGCAGTGCACGGCCTACGATGAATGTGGTGTGCTGAAGACCATTTCTGGTTGGTGTGGTTGTGGGACACACAGAGAATCAACGGTTGAGAAGGAGTCAAGATAAAATGGACGGATGGGCGTAGGAATGTGCGGGCGTGATGTGATGTGATGCGATGTGATGCGGAGATTTGGGGTGGGATTGATCTGGGGTTGTTGGGATCGGGTCGGGACGGGACGGGACGGGATCGGGATGGGGGAGAAGAGAAAGGAGGGATGGATGGATTGAATGAAAAAGGGTAATAGCTTTAGCAGGGGTAATACTAGCGACCCTGCGCTTTAAAGGAGACTACATTCCCAGTAGCGGGCACTTTCCACCCCTCCGCGCCTCAGACAGGGAAGTTATAGAAACAAGACAGTAATCTTCCCACATTCACCCACGTGTCAACAATTTCCAAATCGAATCCACACTCTGGGTGGCTCGGCTGCCACACTGTTCTGAAATCCGATAGGCTACTGTTTCGCGCCCAAAATTTCGGAACACAGGCCTGCGTCAGCAGGCAGTGCAATGAGTCAGCGGGCAAGTAAAAACAAACCCCACATGGAAGGCATGCAATTCGGGAGGCATCAACCCCAAACTTTTAGGGTTGAGGCTCCCGAATGGCATGCAGTCCGATTGGAGTTTATAATTTTTTGCCCGCGGTCAGATTGGTTTCGATTTTGCAGAAGGGACAAAAGTCTGTTGCGTACAGTTGGTCAGAATGTCCAGTACAGTACGTGGCATGCAAATTAGTGACACGTGGGTGAATGTGGGGAAGATTACTGTCTTGTTTCTATACCTTTCCTGTCTGAGGCACGGAGGGGTGGAAAGTGCCCGCTACTGGCACTGTAGTCCCCTTCAAAGCGCAGGGTCGCTAGTAGTACCCCTGCCAAAGCTACTTACCCAATGGAAAAGGGGAGGGAGGGAAGGAAAGCGGAGCAGACTGGCAGGGTCAAGGGGGGTGTGGTCCGTCACTGCACACACCAACCTGCTCTGGTCAGGTCTAGCTCGATCCATCCGGCTACCCCTCCCACACCGTTGGTTGATTGTTATTTCTGTTGGAGAGTACAGTCGATGCTCAGCCTATCACAAAACATTTGCTCTGTACAATTAGAAATTTAGTCACTCGCGAACGTTTTGCTCGTGAGTGACTAAATTGACCATTGTGCCGATTTCAGGGTACAGTCACCAAGTTGAGGAAGAAAAACATCTACAGTTCATAAACAATAACGGTTGCCCGTCATCAGAGAAGCTAACCTGGTTACGAAATTAAAACCCTTAACTCGATTCACGTTGCAATTTCATATTAGTCACATTTTTGCCCGTGGCGACAAAGGCGAACGTGGCGAATTGTCTCAAATTCGTTTCACGCACATGCCGCCCGCCTACCTGGTGTTCTTGAAATGGGCACCGACTGTAACAAAAACGGGAACACTGTTTTGCTTTTACGGAACGGAACCGCTGGTCTGCTGCTCTTCTGTCCTCTTCTGCTCGGCTGCAATGAGATTCTATTCCAACTGCGCTGTAGCTAGCACGTTGCCACACCTCACTGTACAAACTGACTGGGTACAGTACTGTAATTGTTGTGCGCATCGACTGGAGACTCAGGATTTAGCAGAGCGTTTTGCACTACAAACTTGGTGTACTTGGCCAAGAGCAATCTTTCGAAGAGTGCTGTTACCGTATTAGCCTGTACTTCCGGGCGGTTATGTGACCAACTCCCGTTCAATTTCGACTCCGCCTGTGTCCCAGTGGGCTGTGTATTTTGACGAATCGCCAGACTTATAAATCCACTTGCATTGTGACAAGTCTGTGTCCCCGAGTCCGCGCTTACAACCTAGCGAGCCGAGATCTTCCAACCCCCCCCCCCCCCCTATCCTGTTTCTGTCTGAAATTAAAGTATTTTCAATAAGCGAGATTTGTCTAGGTAGCGCACCACAATCTCCCATCTACCCCCTGACCTAATTCAGCTGACTTCCAGCTTTGCATGACATGAAGGGTGGTTCGTCATCAACACTACTGTACAAGGCTCCAGAAAGTGTGGCGGGGCCCACCAATCAAGCTTACTGGACGGACGGAAGTGAGGCAAAAAGTCGAGAACACGGGCAGCTGAGAGTTTCGGCTCCTGATACACCATATTTTCTCAAACTTCTCACCTTGCGCGACTGGTCGCTACAGTTCTTGTCTCTTGCGATCTGGTGCCATTAAATGTTCCTACTATCCTGGGGGGAAAAGCCGAACCACGTGACAAACTGGCTGAAGGGCGTAAATTTTCCGTAATCGCTGTATATCCTTTACAACCTTTCTGAAACGTTTACGAAGCTGATTTTAAACTGCATCACCTCACCTAACCGCGTTCTTCGCATTGTGCTTGACAAGACGGTTCTGAACGTAGTGACGTTCTACAACCCGTGATTGTTCTGCAACCAGATGCTCTACTAGCGCGAAAGAGGGTGTAAATTGTCGTAATGATCTTCTTGCACGACAACTGAAGAAACGACAAGGAGACCAGCCCAAATTCAAAGTGCTCACAGTATACGACAACTAAGATCTATCAAAATTCGCCTTGTGGTTTTCACATCTAATCTGTTCTTGCTGGTGTGGTACACTTAGCTTCTAAAAAAACATATGTACAACAAGCTTATGAGCTTCATATACAGCATTAAGGCGCTGGTGACTACGGGCTTTCTGCTGGTGCAATAATGGGAACACATGGGCTTTTTCACTGCCTTTTTGGCGCCTGAAAACACGTTAATTCTCCTTTTGTTGATTTGACTCGTACCAGTAGCTGTCCTTGGTACTGTATATGCACCTGCTACCTACATGTGCTGTATTAGGGCTTCTCCATGGAATTTAGTTTCTGCCAATTACCCTTCCCAATCATTTGAGCTCGCGGATAACCTTCTGGAACAAATAGCCCCTCATTGAGTCCTTTTTTTCGCACAGATTGTGCTTGTATCATTTATTTGATTTTGACATGTACGAAATCTGGAGATGAGATTGCAATCCTGGTTCGCTCAATAGATTGACATGCTAATGCTCTCCAATTTCTGCATTCATGATTGGTTGCCGCACCCCATGGAAATGGAATACATACAACATTGCAGATTGAGATACAAGCAGCGAAGAACTTCAAACCGAATGTGACACACTGAGCGAAATATCCCCCGAATGCATCGCAAGAAGCAGCTTGTGTCTCTCTTCCGGATTCGTAACATCTAGCAGCAAAACAATTGTAGCAGCTGTAGTGTATGATCCCACACCGCCTCCCTGTCCCTGCTGCCCTTGCTGCTGCAGCTGCAGTTGGGTTTCCCGGCTAGCTTGCTGACTCAAGGGGTTTATAACTCGCGCATCGGTGAAACCGCGACGGTCGTACAGTTTTGGATGTTCGAGTGTGAAGAGAATGAGAGGAATGGCCACCTGAGGGAGGAGGGAGACCAGGAGATTGCAGAGGAGAGAGCGGGAGTGCGCAGAGAGGGAAGAGCGGGAGTGCACAGAGGGGCACGGGGGACAGGGGAAGTGACCAGGGGACAATGAGTGCGTACTTGGTTGGAGTGCACAGTTTTGGATGCTCCAGTGTGAAGACGATAAGAGGAATGACCTATTCTCCCGCCTTGTGGACTCTGCTCCCCCGCAAGGGGATAGGGAGGAGGAAATAGGGGGTGCGGGGGGCCACAAGGCGGGAGGAGGGATGCGACAATAGTTGAGTCCATCGTTTCTCGAGGGTCATACTGTTTTGGATGTTGGAGTGTGAAGAGGATAAGGGGAGTGGCCACCTGAGGGAGGAGGGGAGAGCAGGGGTGTGGGGAGAGCAGGGGTGTGGGGAGAGCAGGGGTGTGGTGAGGGGCACGGTTGGGGAAATGCACTGATTTGGATGTTTGAGTGTGAAGAGGATAAGGGGAATGGCCACCTGAGGGAGGAGGGGATAGCAGAAGATGCAGAGGGAAGAGCAGGAGAGCGCAGAGGGGCACAGGGCGGCACAGGGAGGCGTGTTAGTGTGGCTGAGTGCCTCTGGCGGCAAGGAATACACATACATGCGTACCTGTGCGGCAGGGTGTTCTTGAGAATTCTCAAAAACACCCGGGAGGCGTGTTAGTGTGGCTGAGTGCCTCTGGCGGCAAGGAATACGGGGATGCGTGTTAGTGTGCTGGCGAGGTGCCTCTGGCGGCACAGGGAGGCGTGTTAGTGTGGCTGAGTGCCTCTGGTGGCAAGGAATACACATACATGCGTACCTGTGCGGGTATGGCTATAAAGGCAAACACGGGGATGACGTGCAGAGCAGCAGAGTGTGTCTGCTTCACCCACGAGAGCACGCACTCAAGCACACGCCTTGGGAAGGAATACGTACACACAGAAACGTGTACTGCATACATGCGTCCCTGTGCGGGTACTGCCTTGCCTCGGCAGCGAATGCAGGAATGACGTGCAGAGTAGCAGATTCGACCAGATTTAGTCCCACCCACGGACCCACACGCTCAAGCACACACACACACACGCATACCTGTGCGGGTACTGCCTTGCCTCGGCAGCGAATGCAGGGATGACGTGCAGAGCAGCAGAGTCGACCAGCCTTTGTGGGATTAAGACGGCCGACGAGGGGAAGGCGACCTGTTCTCACCTGACGAGGGGAAGGCGACCTGTTCTCACCCGAGGACGCACACACGCAAGCACACACTCAGGCACACACCATGGGAAGGAACACACTCTTACCTGTGCAGGTATGGCCTCGGCAGCGAATACAGGGATGACGTGCAGAGCAGCAGAGTCGACCAGCCTTTGTGGGATGAAGAAGGCCGATGAGGCGGAGGCGGCGAGGGGGAAGGAGAGGTGGCGCGGCCAAAGAGAGCGGTCCAGCTGGGCTCGGAGGGATTCAGAGAGGTGCGAGAGCGATGTGGAGATGTGTGTGGGGAGATCCGCGGGGTCCAGTGCGGTGTGGATGGGTGCGGAGGGCGGCTGGTCGAGGGGGAGGGTGAGGAGATGGCTTGGGTTGGAAGAGTTTAGGTACCAGATTTTGTTCTGTGGGTGGGTGGAGAGGGGTGGAGGGGGGTGGAGGGGGGTGGGGGGGGGGGGGATGAAGTGGGGTAGGGAGAGGGGTGGAGATGTGAGGGTAGGTTAGTAGTATCAGAGAAAGAGACAATAAAGAGCATAAGCAGGGGGTGAGGAGTGGTTGGAGGGGGGTGGAGGGCGGTGGAAGGGGGTGGAGAGGGGTGGAGGGGGGTGGAATGGAGTGGCAGCAGGGAATAAGGGATACCTTATCAAGGAGGGTATCAGCCAGAACCCAGTCGTTCAACACTGCATCGTCGCCCAGCCAGAGGAAGCCCGAGGGTGAGCAGACAAGGTGAGTATGATGTGCGCTATTATGCATAGTGAGGACAGTACCTTATCCAGTGAGGTATCAGCCAGCGTCCAGTAGTTGAGAACTGCATCATCGTCCACAGGAAGCCCGAGGAAGCCCGAGGTGGAAGAGGGTGGTGAGGTGAAGGGGAGGGGAGTACCTTATGAGGTGAGTACCCCATTATGAAGGGGAGGGGCGTACCTTATCCAGGGGGGCATCGGCCAGTGTCCAGTAGTTCGCGACTGCATCGTCGTCCAGCCAGAGGAAGCCCGAGGGTGAGAAGGGGAGTGGGGAGTACCTCATTATGAAGGAGAGGGGGAGGGGCGTACCTTATCAAGAGGGGCATCAGCCAGGGCCCAGTAGTTCAAGACTGCATCGTCGTCCAGCCAGAGGAAGCCCGAGGCTGAGGCGTGCTGCTCCATGATGGTGGGGAGAGCCGTGTAGGAGAGAGAGGCATCGGTGTTGGTTGCAGGGGAGGGTGTTGCCTGGGGGGAGCATTAAGAGGAAAAGGGGCGGGAAGAGAGAGGAGGGCGCAAGGCAGTGTGAGGCTGAGGCGTGTTGCTGCATGCATGATGGTGGGGAGAGCAGTGTAGGAGATATAGGCATCGGTGTTGGTAGCAGGGGAGGGTGTGGCCTGGGGAGGGGTGGGGAGTGGGAGGGGGGCGAGCAGAGGGGTGGGGAGTGGGAGGCTGAGGCGTGTTGCTCCATGATGGTGGGGAGAGCGGTGTAGGCAAGAGAGGCGTCAGCGTTGGCAACAGGTGTGGCCTGGGGTACGCAGGGGCAGTGTCACGAGAGAGAACAGACAGAGGAAGCCAGAGGCAGTGGGGAAGAGGCGTTCACACCACACCAGAGGAAGCCTGAGGCTGAGGCGTGTTGCTGCATGCATGATGGTGGGGAGAGCGGTGTAGGAGAGAGAGGCATCGGTGTTGGCAGCTGGGGAGGTGTGGCCTGGGGGAAGGAGCAGTGCCACAAGAGAGAACAGACAGAGGAAGCCCGAGGCAGTGGGTGGCTGAGGCGTGTTGCTCCATGATGGTGGGGAGAGCGGTGTAGGAGAGAGCCGGGGGAAGGAAAGGTTGTCGGGCCCGGAGTGTGGGGAGTGGGGCGGGGAGTGGGGCGGGGAGTGGGGCGGGGAGTGGGGTGGGGATTGGGGCGGGGAGTGGGGCGGGGAGTGGGGCAGGGAGTGGGGCGGGGAGTGGGGTGGGGATTGGGTTGGGGAGTGGGTTGGGGAGTGGGTTGGGGAGTGAGGTAGGGAGTGGGATAGGCGCATTGCCACAACCCACAGGAAAGCGCAAGGCAGTGAGAGGCTGAGGCGTGTTGCTCCATAACCAGTGGGTGGAAGCGGGTGGAAGTGGGTGGAAGTGGGTGGAAGTAGGTGGAAGTGGGTGGAAGTAGGTGGAAGTGGGCAGAGGAACGGAACGTTACTGGAAAAACGGGGTGAATGAGGAGCTGGAAGGAAGGGGAGAGGAGGGACGGGGAGGGGAGGGGAGGGGAGGGGAGGGGAGGGGAGGGGAGGGGAGGGGAGGGGAGGGGAGGGGAGGGGAGGGGAGGGGAGGGAGGGGAGGGGAGGGGAGGGGAGGGGAGGGGAGGGGAGGGGAGGGGAGGGGAGGGGAGGGGGGAGAGGGACGGGTGGGGGGATGGGAAGGGGGGGGAAGGGGAGGGGGGCGGCGAGGGGAGGGGCCGGGAAGGGAGGTTGGGTTGGGTGTGCGGGTGGGAGCATGCCGCAATAGAACCCCAGCTCGGGGATTGCTTCAGTTGACCCCGCCACAAGATCGTCGAATACGTGGCTATACACAATGGAAGGGAAGAGGCATGAGGAGCACAAGTTGCAGCGTTTAGGGTTGGGGAGAGGGTGGGAGCATACCGCAATGACCCCCAGCTCCGGGATTGCTTCTGTTGACACTGTCACCATATCGTCAAAGACGCGGCCGTACACGTGGTAAGAGGCATGAGCAAGAAGCAGAGGAAGAGTGGGTGGGAGCATACCGCAATAACCCCCAGCTCGGGGATGGCTTCAGTTGACACTGTCACCATATTGTCAAAGACGCGGCCGTACACGTGGCGCCAGAACTCCAGCGTCTGCCATGCCCGCACTGGCCTGTAGGAGCGGGGAGAGGGGAGGAGAAGAACGGGGTAAGGGAGGGAATGGGCAGCACAAGAAAGCGCAGATCGTGGAATATGTGCCGTACACGTGGCGCCAAACTTTGAGTCGACTCAAAACTACACGTGGCGCCAATTTTTGAGTCGACTCAAAACTACATGTGGCGCCAAATTTTGAGTCGACTCAAAACTACATGTGGCGCCAAATTTTGAGTCGACTCAAAACTACACGTGGCGCCAAATTTTGAGTCGACTCAAAACTACACGTGGCGCCAAAAAGCCAGCGCCTGCCATGCCCGCACTGGCCTACAATTAGTAGCGGTGAGGATGAGAGCAAGTGAGGCAGGGAAGCAGGCAGCAGGGAACAGGCATGCACTGCTGAATACGTACGTGGCCGTACACATTGCGGCAGAACTCAAGCCATAACATGCACTCACTGGCCTGCAGTCACTGGCATTTCACACACATACATCTCCTCGCCCCCAACACTCATCTCCCCATCCCATCTGACCAGGAAAAGTGAACCTCCAGAACCATCCCTACAGAGGCGCCTCAAAACTCATCTACCAAACCCCAGCACTCATTTCCCCATCCCCTGCCCAACTGTCACCCATTCTCACTGTCGCCCATACCCATCCCTACTCACCCATTCCCACTGCTCTCCCCATCCCCAGCCCAACCAACCTGGAAATGCGCAGCACCAGAACCACACCAGTATAGGCGTTTACAGAACTCAACTCCCAGCCCAAACACTCATTTCCCCATCCCCCCAACCCAACCCAGCTGACCCAGTCTCACTGTCGCACATTCCCAACCCAACTCACCCATTCTCACTAACACTCATTTCCACACCCCCAACTCACCTGCTAAAGTGCAGCACCAGAACCACCCCTCTGAAAAACTCCCTCCACTGCTGAAGCTTCCGTGCACCTTCCTTCCGCCGGCTCGACAGCCCGCCGCCCGACACGTCATCATCATCATCCTCATCCTCGTCAGCACCAGCTGGGTCCTTATTCTCGTTGTTACCATCCTCGCTATAAGACCTTTTTATTGGATCTTGGGAGCTGCTACTGCCTGCAGCAGCGGTGGTATTGGGCTGGGCGGACAGAGTAGTGGGAGGGAGTAAAGATAGAGTGTCACTGGGAGCTGTGGCAGTGGTGTGGCATTGGCAGCAGTGGTGGCGACAGTTGCAGCAGCGGAGGAATTTGGCTGGGCGGACAGGGTAGGGAAGGGAGTAAAGAGTGTCACATGGCAGCAGCGGCACTGGCATTGGCAGCAGCGGCAGTGGCAGCGGCACTGACATTGGCAGCAGTGGCAGTGGCAGCGGCACTGGCAGTGGCAGCAGTGGCGAATGCTGAGGGCTTTCTAGCTCATTTGTGCGTTTTGAGTCGACTCAAAAGTCACCTAGGAAATTCTAGCTCATTTGTGCCAAAATGCACAATTTTGTCGATTCAAAATACACCAGGGTGGGTGGACCGGAGTAGGGAAGGGAGGGAGTATCGAATCGAATGTCCCTCTACTCTACCACCAACAGAGAGACGGATGGTGCACTTACCACCACGCCTGGCTGATTTTTTAGACCTCTCAAAAGTCGTCTCAAAAGTTGACCAGAGTAGGGAGGGAGAATTGAATGTCTCTCTACTCCACTCCACCACCGACAGAGAGACGGATGGTGCACTTACCACCATGCCTGCCTTGTTGATGGCTTTTGGGTTGACTCAAAAGTCCCCTCGAATGTCACTCTACTCTACTCCACTCCATTCCCAACAGAGGGATGGATGGAGCTCTTGCCACCATGGCTATTGGGTCGACTCAAAAGTCACCACGAATGTCAATCTACCAGCGACGGAGAGAGACGGATGGTGCACTTACCATCATGCCTTGCTGATTTTTGATATGTCTCAGAAGTCATCTCAAAAGTGGACCGGGGTAGGGAAGGGAGGGAATATCGAATCGAAAGTCACTCTACCAGCGACAGAGAGACATGGATGGTGCACATACCACCATGCCTTGCTGATTCATCACCATGCCGGGATGCGCCTTCCTCCCTCTCAGCGACTCAGCAGCTGCAAGGAGGGGTGAAAATAGGAGGGTGGAGGGACGAGGGGAATGAGGGGGAGTGAGGAGGGGGGAAACGGACTCACAGAAATGAAGCACGGACCATGGCTCTGAATGAGCCTTCCACCATCCCAGCAGTGCAGCAGCTGCAATGGAAAGAGAGGGGAGGAAGCCTTGGAAGGGAGGGCTGGATAGGTGGACCAAGGGTGGGGGTCCAACCAGGGTTCACCCAGAAAAGTGCACGGGAGTGACAGGAGGATGCAGAGAGAGGCATGTGGCGAGCAGATTAGGGTATCAAATTTCGGCTTTAGGGTCAGGGGGTTTAGGGCTTCGGGTTTAGGAGAAAACGTTGAGAGCTTCCGGTTTAGGAGTTAGGGTTTCGGGTTTAGGATACAGAGGCCATGCAAGTGCAGGCATTCAGCCGTCATGAGTGACAAATCAGACAAGAGCGAGTGAGCATGCAGATGATTTGACAAGTTCTCATCAACCACTTACTCACCCACTCACTTGCTTCCATTCAGCCACGAATTGAATTGGAAATTGCTCAAATGCTCACTCACTCACGCACTCGCTCACTCACCCATTGATTCTCTGCCTCTTATTCGTGACTACTTCGAATTGGAATGTTCTCGGAAGGCTCTACTGTTCAGGAACTCTCTCTGAACTCTCTGCTGTTCTGTCACCCCTGCATTGCAACAGACAAGAGGCCTCAAAGGTTCTTTTGAGGCGCCTCAAAAGCTTTCTCTGAACTCTCTGCTGTTCTGTCACCCCTGCATTGCAACAGACAAGAGGCCTCAAAGTTTCTTTTGAGGCGCCTCAAAAGCTTTCTCTGAACTCTCTGCTGTTCTGTCACCCCTGCATTGCAACAGACAAGAGGCCTCAAAGGTTCTTTTGAGGCGCCTCAAAAGCTTTCTCTGAACTCTCTGCTGTTCTGTCACCCCTGCATTGCAACAGACAAGAGGCCTAAAAGGCTATTTTGAGGCGCCTCAAAAGCTTTCTCTGAACTCTCTGCTGTTCTGTCACCCCTGCATTGCAACAGACAAGAGGCCTCAAAGGTTCTTTTGAGGCGCCTCAAAAGCTTTCTCTAAACTCTCTGCTGTTCTGTCACCCCTGCATTGCAACAGACAAGAGGCCTCAAAGGTTCTTTTGAGGCGCCTCAAAAGCTTTCTCTGAACTCTCTGCTGTTCTGTCACCCCTGCATTGCAACAGACAAGAGGCCTCAAAGGTTCTTTTGAGGCGCCTCAAAAGCTTTCTCTGAACTCTCTGCTGTTCTGTCACCCCTGCATTGCAACAGACAAGAGGCCTCAAAAGCTTTCTCTGAACTCTCTGCTGTTCTGTCACCCCTGCATTGCAACAGACAAGAGGCCTCAAAGGTTCTTTTGAGGCGCCTCAAAAGCTTTCTCTGAACTCTCTGCTGTTCTGTCGCCCCTGCATTGCAACAGACAAGAGGCCTCAAAGGTTCTTTTGAGGCGCCTCAAAAGCTTTCTCTGAACTCTCTGCTGTTCTGTCACCCCTGCATTGCAACAGACAAGAGGCCTCAAAGGTTCTTTTGAGGTGCCTCAAAAGCTTTCTCTGAACTCTCTGCTGTTCTGTCACCCCTGCATTGCAACAGACAAGAGGCCTCAAAGGTTCTTTTGAGGCGCCTCAAAAGCTTTCTCTGAACTCTCTGCTGTTCTGCCACCCCTGCATTGCAACAGACAAGAGGCCTCAAAGGTTCTTTTGAGGCGCCTCAAAAGCTTTCTCTGAACTCTCTGCTGTTCTGTCACCCCTGCATTGCAACAGACAAGAGGCCTCAAAAGCTTTCTCTGAACTCTCTGCTGTTCTGTCACCCCTGCATTGCAACAGACAAGAGGCCTCAAAGGTTCTTTTGAGGCGCCTCAAAAGCTTTCTCTGAACTCTCTGCTGTTCTGTCGCCCCTGCATTGCAACAGACAAGAGGCCTCAAAGGTTCTTTTGAGGCGCCTCAAAGGTTCTTTTGAGGCGCCTCAAAAGCTTTCTCTGAACTCTCTGCTGTTCTGTCACCCCTGCATTGCAACAGACAAGAGGCCTCAAAGGTTCTTTTGAGGCGCCTCAAAAGCTTTTTCTGAACTCTCTGCTGTTCTGTCACCCCTGCATTGCAACAGACAAGAGGCCTCAAAGGTTCTTTTGAGGCGCCTCAAAAGCTTTCTCTGAACTCTCTGCTGTTCTGTCGCCCCTGCATTGCAACAGACAAGAGGCCTCAAAGGTTCTTTTGAGGCGCCTCAAAAGCTTTCTCTGAACTCTCTGCTGTTCTGTCACCCCTGCATTGCAACAGACAAGCGGCCTCAAAGGTTCTTTTGAGGCGCCTCAATAGCTTTCTCTGAACTCTCTGTCCTTCTGTCATTCCTGCATTGCGACAGACAAGAGGCCGCAAAGGTTGTCCATCACTTACTGAGTGACTCTCGTGCTGCCAGGCTTGCAGCCACGTCAGCAGACGACCACCGCATGCTGATGAGCTGGCAGAGCGCAAGGGAGGGAAGGAGGGAGGGGAGGAAGGGAGACAGGGGTGTAAGCAGAGGGAAGATGGGATAGGGGAGGTGATGAGAAAGCTGACAGCAGACGAGACGACCACCTCCTGCTGATGAGCTGTTGTCCGGGAGGACGAGCAGCGCAGGGAGGGAGGGGAGGAAGGGAGAGAAGGGTGTAAGCAGAGGGTAGAAGGGACAGGGGAGGTGATGAGGTAGCTGCCAGCAGACGAGACGACCACCTCCTGCTGATGAGCTGTTGTCCGGGAGGACGAGCAGCGCAGGGAGGGAGGGGAGGGAGGGGAGGAAGGGAGAGAAGGGTGTAAGCAGAGGGTAGAAGGGACAGGGGAGGTGATGAGGTAGCTGCCAGCAGACGAGACGACCACTTCCTGCTGATGAGCTGTTGTCCGGGAGGACGAGCAGCGCAGGACACGGCAGGGAGGGAGGGGACGAAGGGAGCTGTTTTGATACGTACGAGTCAAGGGAGGCAAAGGGAGGCGGGACGGGATGTATGGACAGAATTTTTAGGCGCCTCAACACGAGTTTTGAGGCACATAAAAAGGAGGGGAGGAAGGGAGTTGATTTGATACGAGCCACAACAGGAAAACGGAGGCGGGACGGTAAGGATGTTTTGAGATGTCTCAAAACATCACTTCTATCACGTGGCAGGACGGGGATGATGGACAGGGGAAGGAGCAGGGGATGGGAAAGGGTGCTTATAATGGAAACGACTTACCAGGGCAAAGAGGACGACTATAACGAGGATGAGCAGGCAGAAAAGGCAGGCAGCGAGCCCAAGAAGGGCTATCTTGAAAGTTGCGTTGGAGCCATCCACTCCCCCACCAAAGCCCAAGGGGGAGGTGCTGGGGGAGAGCAGGCGGGGGAGGGCTGCACGCTTGCGCCCCATTGTCAGGGGACGGGGCTGGGGGGGGGGGGGAAAGGGGAGGGGGGAGAGGGAAGTAGGAGAGGGGAGGGGGATCAAGGAGGGGAAAAGAGGACGGGAACAGGGAGGGGGAACAGGGAGGGGGAGCAGGGGAGGGAGGGGAGCTGTGAGGCCAAGGGGGGTTATCTTGAGAGTTGCGCTGGAGCCATCCACCCCGCCCCCAAAGCCCAAGGGGGAACCGCTGGGGGAGAGCAGGCGGGGGAGGGCTGCGCGCTTGCGCCCATGGTCAGGGGACGGGGCTGGGGGGGAGCAAGGGGAGGGATGGGGAAAGGGAGAGCGAGGAGGGGGAACAAGGAGGGGAGGGGGAACAAGGAAGAAAAAGGGGAGGGGGAAAAGGGAGGAAGAAGGGGAGGGGGACAATGAGGCCAACGGGAGTTATCTTGAGAGTTGCGCTGGAGCCATCCCCTCCGCCCCCAAAGCCCAAGGGGGAAGTGCTGGGGGAGAGCAGGCGGGGGAGGGCTGCACGCTTGCGCCCCATGGTGAGGGGACGGGGCTGGGGGGAAGGGGTAATGGGGCAAGGGGAGGGAGAAAAGGGAGGTGGGAGAGAGGGAAGGGGGGAATAAGGGAAGACTGTGAGACAAAGGCTGCGCGCTTGCGCCCCACGGTGAGGGGGCGGGGCTGGGGGCGCAGGAAGTGGGGGATCGAGGGTGGAGGGAGGGGAGAAGAGGAAAGAAGGAACGAGGGAAGGGGGGATGAGGGGGGAATGGGGGAAGCAGAGTGTGGATTTTGGGGCGGGCGGATTGCGCGCTTGCACCCCATGGGGTGGGGACGGGGGTGGGGGTCGGAAGGAGAAGGGAAGAGGGAGAGGAGAAGAGGAATCGGGGAACAGGGACGGGAAACAGGAGGAGGGAACGGGAAGGGGGTACTGGAGAGGGAAATAAGCGGGGAACTGGGAAGGGGAACTAGGAAGGAGAATGGGGAGGGAAACATTGGGAGGTTGAAACAGGGAGGGGGAACAGGGGTGGGGAGCAGAGCGGGGGAGCAGATGTGGGGGAAGAGAGGAGGATCCAGGCGGAATGGGGAGAAGGAGCGGGAGGGAATAGCGGAAGGGACGACAGTGCGACAGTATGAAACCATGAACGGAAAACTGACCAATGGACGTAAACGTTAACGTTAACGTCCAGCCTGCTGGCGTCACCTGACGCCAAACGGCATTCCGTCTATGCCGACATTGTAATGCCGGCCTTCTTCGCATCGCAAGCGAGCTGCTCTAATATTGAGTTTTGAGACGTCTCAAAACAGCAAGCAAGCTGCTCTAAATTTGCTTTCATCCGATCATCAAGTAACAGTCTCGACTGGTACGTCATCGGCGAGTGATCCTATCGAAAATACTCGAATAGTTACGACTTGTATCGAGGAATAATATTGACTCGAATAGCTATGACTCACCCCTCCCGCTCGCCGCCTTTCGGCCATGTTCCCACCACGTTTCCTTCCGCGTTCAATAACTCGACGCGTGGCGCTCAGTTCACGACAGCAAGAGTCGAGGCGATCAGACACCGGTCGGTCAGCACCCACAGCAGCAGGAATCGAGTAGGAATTGAGTTTTTACGCGACTTTTGAGGCGTCTCAAAACTCGAAAGCAGCAGCTGATGCGATCCGACACCGGCGATTGGTCAGCAACCGCAGCAGAAATCGCCTAGCATTGCCGAATCAGCGACAGGTGCAATAAAAAAGGTGTCTTGTTTCCAGTCAATGCATTACTCCCTAGTTTGGGAACCTACAGGTCGGAACAGCAACTACTACACGTGAGAGTCCGTACAGCTTCTAGGGGAGTAGTTACTCACTGACAGCAACTGTCGAGAATCTCCGTACAGCACCGTGGGGTGCAGAAGATGCAGATGATGGCACAGCGTTTCTATGCGGTATTCTGTGTTCAGGCGCGGTCCAGCCTTGGTTATGCCGGTTCACGGTCTCTGTCTCCTGACGGTGCAAAACGAGATTGGTCCCTGGTCTAGTGGTGGGGTCCCTGGTCCTAACTCCTTTTCACTGCTCACTTCTATTCCAGTCAGAAGCGTCTCCGCTTGAAAGACTACCTTGTTGGATTCTGCAGTGTCACGAAGCTGCTCTTTGTTAGAGGGGTGTTTACTGTTCATTCCGAACAGTACATTCCTAGTCACCATTATCCTTTATCTTCTCAGATTCTCTAGTGCCACGTGGCACTCTACTTTTCTTGCACTCCAATTCTTGGTCCCACATTCCACTTTCCAACCTTGTTTCTTGCATGCTATATAAACCTTGCTTGTACTTGCCATTATCCATCAATTCTCATTCAACTCTTCTTCAATTACTCAGTAACTTCTTCGCCTATTTCACCAATAGTTCTTTCGCCAAAGTCTTCCGCCGCGTTTCATCCTCGACTTAGTGGACCCCGCTAATTCTTTAGCGGACTTAGGCCGTCGGGCCTAACACTTGGTATCAGAGCCTTCGCGGGGAGCGACTTCCAACGAGCGACCGTCGACGACGAGACTACGACGCCATCGTCCCGCGGTGCCAACTTGCAGACTTGGAGTCGTTGAGCGAACATGGACGAAACCATGCACGCAGTCCCCCACGACATGGGCAACACGCTTGCCGAACTCATGCGCCAACTTCAAGAGTTGACGCTGGAAAATCGACAAGTATGAGCTGAAATGCAACAGCTTCGTGAATTGGCTTCTAACCCCCATGGTCATGCCACACCAACTCTTGCGCCCAACACGTCGTCTGGCGCGGAAGCGCTGCCGGAACGTCGAAGCGCACTCAAGCCGCAGAAACCCGAGTCGTTCGACCCAAGTCAACGCGACGCGAACGTGCGGACGTGGCTCTTCATGCTGAACAACTACTTCGCCGCGAGCGGGGTGCAAGAGGCGGACGCGCAGCAGCGGATCGAGTACGCTGTTACACTGCTGAGGGGCCCGGCCTTGGAGTGGTGGCGCCAACTCACTCAAACTGTTGTAAGAAGGGCTCAGACGGACGGGCATCAACAGGGCGTGGGGCATGCAGCTGCAACTTCGAGCTTAGGGAGTTTAGCTTTGGGTGTTACCACGGTTTCGACCACATGGGAAGGATTTGAAGCGGCGCTGAAAAGTAGCTTCGATTTGGTGAACGCCTCCGAAGCTGCTAGGAAGCGTCTGCGTCATTTCCGACAGATAGGCAACGTCCAGGAGTACACACGACGGTTCTTGAGCATCTGCAACGAGATAGACGATATCACGGAAGCAGATATGCGCGATCGCTACCTCGAAGGGTTGAAGCCGGACATAGCGGAAGTCATTGCGATTCACGGGTTGTCCACCTTCGAGTCGGTAGTCGCAGCAGCAGAACGCGTCGACGCAGTACGAAGCCGACGGGGTCGTGACGATCGCGATAGGGGATACAACAGACCGATCAACGACTCTCGATCGAGGGACGGATCATCGCCCATGGAGATTGGTGCAGTTAACAGTGGCGGCTCACAGAAAATGGGATTTAGGGGGAACTGTCACTACTGCAAAAAGCCGGGACACAAGAAGCGAGACTGCCCACAGCTTAAGGAGCGGCAGCAGGGAAACGGAAACCGCCAGTAGATAGCGGGTCGCTAGCTGGTGTGGAGGTTCCCGTACCCGCCACGTCTACCAACGTAGAGGAGACGGCTTCGCAGCAGTCATCTACGGAGAACGAGGTAGACACTGTTGATCGTCCAGTCGTGATTCTAGGGAAGCTTCGCGGAGTTCCTGTTAAGATTCTCGTAGATAGCGGAGCTAGCCACTCGTTCGTCTCTTCATCGTTAGTTTCTCGTCTCCATCTCGAAGCAGATTCAGCAGTCAACTTCAAGGACGCTCGCATGGTAGATGGGACGCCACTTCACATAGGACCGATCATCCGCAAGTTGCGCGTAGTGCTAGGACCGATCACAGTCAGGCGTGATTCCGACTCTGCGACGCTGGACGGATACGATTTTATCTTCGGGAGAGATTGGCTACGGACGGTTAGTACTCAGTTCGATTGGGCTCAGGAAAGCTGCAGCGTCAAGGTAGACGGGGAGTTCCGGAAGCTGCCACAGTGGAGCGATGGGGCCACATCATCCACAGCTATCATTAATGCTGTTCGTGTGCGACAGTTAGTGAAGCGTGCGGCACGGATCTTCGCGGTTTTTCTTGAGGAGGTGGAAGCTGAGGAGGGGAAAGGAGGGAGTGCAGCAGTTAGTGAGAAGACGACTCTTCCTGCTGAGGTGAGTGCACTGTTAGCAGAGTTCGCAGACGTCTTCCCCGACGAGTTGCCCCCAGGGTTGCCTCCCAGCCGAGCAGTAGACCATCGAATAGAATTGGAGCCGGGGAGCAGGCCAGTAGCGAAGGCGCAGTGGAGGTTGAGTCCAGCGGAGACAGGGGAGATGACGCAGCAAGTTAGGCACTTTCTCGCACAGGGTTTCATACAGCCATCTAGATCGCCTTGGGCCGCACCGATACTTTTCGCACCCAAGAAAGACGGAGGGTTACGGATATGCATAGATTACCGCGCACTGAACGCCGCCACCGTCAAGAATAGATTCCCGGTGCCGAGAGTAGAGGATCTTCTCGATGCAGTGCAGGGCGCTAGAGTCTTCTCAAAGATCGACCTTCGTTCGGGTTACCACAAGATTCGAGTAGTTCCAGAGGACCAGCACAAGACGGCGTTTCGTACGAAGCAGGGGTTGTACGAGTTTAGGGTTCTACCGTTCGGATTGACCAACGCCCCAGCGACGTTTCAGACGCTCATGAACACAGTCCTCTCCGAGTTCCTAGGGTCGTTCGTTGTCGTTTACCTAGACGACATCCTAGTGTTCTCTAAGACGAAAGATGAGCACGTGCAGCACTTGCAGAAGGTCTTCGAGGTCTTACGGAGGGAGCAGTTATACGCTAAGCAGTCGAAGTGCGAGTTCTTCCTTCCAGAGGTCGAGTTCCTAGGACACGTCGTATCCGCTAGTGGCATTAGGACTGACCCGAAGAAGATCGCAGCAGTACAGGATTGGGTAGCACCGACCTCAGTCAAGGAGTTGCAGAGCTTCCTCGGTTTCGCGAACTACTACCGTCGTTTCGTTCAGGGTTACGCATCGATCGCTAGTCCACTCACCGACCTACTTCGGAAGGGCGTAGAGTACGTTTGGGGTCCAGCGCAGTAGCAGGCGTTCGAGCAGATGAAGCAGTCGCTCACGTCTTCACCGACACTGTCGTACCCTGATCCCACTCGCCCATACGTTGTAGTGACCGACGCTTCCGATCAGGCCATAGGAGCAGTGCTTCTTCAGGACCAGGGACGCGGGTTGCAGCCGATCGCGTACGAGTCGCGTAAGCTTAGGGGAGCGGAGTTGAACTATCCCATACACGACAAGGAGGCGCTCGCGATCATCCATGCGTATAAGGTGTGGAGGTGCTACCTAGAGGGGGCAGAAAGTGTTATACGCACGGACCACTGTTCGCTTCGTTTCCTCAAGTCGCAGCCGCAGCTGAGTCGTCGCCAGGCTAGGTGGATGGAGTTCATGGAAGGGAGCTTTCACTACAGGATAGAGTACAAGCCAGACGTGCGCAACCCAGCAGATCCGCTCACTCGCCCTAGTTGTCAGCTCGCCAGTCTCACAGTCACTGCTGGCCACCCACTTCTTACAGCACTCTTCGAGCACGGTTACACAGTAGATCCCGACTTCACACCGCAGCCGCCCGCAGGAGCAGAGGTGCAGGGTAGTGTCTACATACGGAAGGGTACCACACGGATTTGGGTTCCAGCCTACCGCCCTCTTCGACAGCTCCTTCTCTCAGAGGTGCACGACGTAGTTAGTGCAGGGCACTTCGGAGCAGATAAGACGGCTAAGACGCTTAGTCGCACGTACTACTGGCCCGGGCTTGCAGCAGACGTAGAGGATTACATTCGCTCGTGCGACACGTGTCAGCGTACGAAGTCCTCTCGCCAGCGCAAAGCAGGACTCTTGCAGCCGATTCCACCGCCCGACCGCCCTTGGCAGGTAGTTACCATGGACTTCATCATGGCTTTACCGCGCACAGTTAGGGGTCATGACGCCATCTTCGTAGTAGTGGATAAGTTTTCTCGAGCAGCGCATTTCATCCCCACGCACGGCAAGGTCA